TAAGTAATAATGGCAATTTGGATATTATGAAATAAATTAAGTTGAGCCAACATGTAAACTGTAGAGGTCTATATCATGTATATGCCAGGAATTAAAACTCTTTAATAATTTGTTCATATATTTTTAAAGTTTCAACTCATGAACACCAGCTCAAAATAATATTCTGGCTTTAACTTGCCCCAAATGCAAGCATTCTGATTTATATATCATCGCAATGAAGCAGAATTGTGGAAAGCCTACATGCAATTTAAATGGTGTATGCCAACAACACAATTTCTTGCATATTTGGATTCAAATTTGAATGCGTATGAATTCACGTTTATTTTAACGCTACTGGCTGCAACTTTTTCATCGAATCTATGTATACAAGATTTTTAAAGCGTTTTCAAACAGATACTTCTTTTACTGATGTGAAATGGAGGTCTTTGTTCTTTGCACCTATCAAAGGTCATCAGAACATGCTAGTCCTACCTTTAAGAGAAGCCTACGATTTACCAATCACATATATCTCATGAAAGCGATGTAAAAGATGTCACTTTTGTTGGCAACAAGAAGGCAAAAATAAAAGTTGGCAGCACTTTGTTCTCTTTAATCTCTCTCTGTTTTCTGCATCTTTTCAAATGAATTGTTACAAGTATTTATAGGCAAAATGTTTGCCTCTTCAAATGCCAAAAAATAAATCATGATGCCTATTAAATAGGTTTGTCACCCATATTTCTTGGTTATGCCACTCATGCCTAAAACCATTAATACTACTATACGAATACCAAATAACAAAAATAAACTTCCTAATTTAAGTTTTACAACAAATCTCCCCCTTAAACTTAAATATTCTTCCCATCTCTCATTCCAATCAGCCTTTTGCAACTCTCCAGCAGTGTGGTCGGCAGTGGCTTGGTGAACACGTCCGCGGCTTGAGCTCGGCTTTCAACATGCTCCAGCGCGACCTTTCCTTCTCTGACTTGTTCTCGGATGAAATGAAATCGGACGTCGATATGCTTGCTCCTTCCGTGATTAACCGGGTTTTTTGCCAACTCGATCGCCGACTTGTTATCAATTCGGATCACAGTCCCTTCGTCTCGAATCACTCTCAAATGCCTTAGAAGATTTGAAAGCCACACTGCATGACATACGCTCCAAGAGGCCGCCACGTACTCAGCCTCGCAGGTCGATAGAGTTACAATGGGCTGCTTTTTTGATAGCCAAGTAAAAGCCGTATTCCCGAGTAGGAATACATAACCCGAAGTACTTTTCCGGTCATCAACATCACCACACCAATCGCTATCTGAGTAACCCACTAGTCGGTAGTCATCCGACTTTGAATAGAAAAGACCAAGTGTTAGGGTTCCTCGAACATATCTTAGAATTCTCTTCAAGGCCTTCCAATGTGTATAACTCGGATCTTCCATGAATCTACTCGTTATCCCAACACTTAGCATAATGTCGGGTCTCGTACTTGTAAGATACCTCAAACTACCGATTAAACTTCGATATCTCTCGGGATTAGCTCGTTCTCCTCCATCAAATTTTGAAAGTTTCGTGCCAGGTTCCATTGGAGTTGAAACTGGGTTACAGTCCTCCATTTTAAATTTCTTTAAAATCTCAAGTGCATACCTTTCTTGAGATATGAAGATCCCTTCCTCCGATTGCTTTACCTCTAACCCGAGAAAATACTTCATCAGACCCAAGTCTGTCATCTCGAATTCCTTTTTCATTACCTCCTTAAACTCCTTAATCAATTTTGCGTTGTTTCCAGTGAATATGAGGTCGTCGACATAGAGAGCGACTACCATCATATCCTTTTCTGTTTTCTTTGTGTACAAGGCATGCTCATACGGACATTGCTCGTACCCGTTTTTCTTGAAATACCCGTCAATTCTCTCATTCCAGGCACGAGGAGCCTGCTTCAGCCCATAGAGGGCTTTTTTCAATCTCAGCATCTTCTTCTCATCCCCTCTCTTCATGTACCCGAGTGGTTGCTCGACGTACACCTCCTCCTTCAGCACTCCATTTAGAAAGGCCGACTTCACATCCATCTGTAGAATCGGCCATTGGTTCTGAGCAGCCAATGAGATCAGAAGTCGGATTGATTCCAATCTCGTGACAGGAGCAAATACTTCATCATAGTCGATCCCCTCCTTTTGCCTATAGCCCTTCACCACAAGTCGAGCTTTATAACGCTCAACCTCTCCCTCAACATTCATCTTCTTTTTGTACACCCATTTTACTCCAATGGGTCGAGCTCCTTCAGGAAGGTCGGTCAGCTCCCAAGTATTGTTGCGTTCAATTGCCCCAATCTCCTCATCCATGGCTGTTCTCCACTTCTCATCTTGGACAGCTTTCTCAAAACTCAAGTCTTCAGAGTCGGCCAGAAGACATACAACATGAACTTCATTTGTAGTGTCGTATATTTCCTGCAGACTTTTCATCCTGGGCTGTTGTGGCTCGGTTTCTTCATCTGAGGACTCGGTGGTTGTTGTTGTTGAAGGCACAACAACCTCCGAGTTAGTTTCTTCTTTGGCTGGGTTACTCCAGCACCATTGCTTTGTTTCCTCCACGTGAACATCTCGGCTCACCACCACTTTCTTGTTAACTGGATCAAACAATTTATATGCTTTAGATTTTCCATCATACCCAATAAAGATGTACTTCTTACTCCGATCTTCTAATTTTGTCCTGTGCTGACTTGGTACTTGCCCATAGGCCACGCTACCGAACACCTTCAAATGAGAGACACTCGGCTTCATACCACTCCAGATCTCCTGAGGTGTCTTCTCGCCTAGCTTTGCATGTGGACATCTATTTTGCACATAGACTGCGCACTGCACCGCCTCTGCCCAAAACTTCTTCGGCATATTCTTCCCTTTCAACATAGATCGAACCATATCGAGAATGGTTCGGTTTTTTCATTCCGCTACACCGTTTTGCTGCGGAGAATATGGGGCAGTCAAGAAACGCCTAATCCCATGATTCTCGCAATATTTGTTGAACTCAGCAGAAGTGAACTCGCCTCCTCTATCAGATCGGATTGCTTTGATGACTTTGCTTGTTTCTTTCTCCACCATCACTTTGAATTTCTTGAAAGTTTCAAACACTTCTGACTTCTCTTTCAGAAAATAAACCCACGTCTTCCTTGAGAAATCATCAATGAAAGAGACGAAGTATCTCTTACCACTGAATGATTCTGGAGTTATCGGCCCACACAAATCGGTATGGATCAGTCCGAGTTGCTCCTTGGCTCGGTACTCAGAAATCCTTGGAAAAGAAGTCCTTGCCTGCTTCTCGATCACACATTCTTCACAGAACCTCTTTTCGAATTCCAATTTAGGCAGCCCGACCACCATCTCCTTTTTCACCAGCTCGGTCAACCCACCGAAGTGAAGATGACCGAACCGAAAATGCCACTTCATGGCCTCATCCTCCATATCAAGTCGCATGCATTTATCTTGAATTATTTTCAGCTCAAGTTTGTACATGCGATTTTTCTGCATTTCTACCTGCGCAATGAGCCTCCCGAGTTTATCCTTCAGTTGTAGTTTTCGGTCCTTCATCAGAACCGAGTACCCCTTCTCCATTAGCTGTCCCATGCTCAGTATGTTGTTTTTGAGATCAGGTACGTAGTATACATCTCTGATCTCTCCGATTCGCCCATTTCTCTGTTGATACCAGATTGTTCCTTGGCCTTTGACGGCTACTTTTGAAGCATCGCCAAAAGAAACGGATCCGGACTCTACTTTTGAAAGTATTTTGAATAAGCGCTCGTTACCACACATGTGGTTACTTGCGCCGGTGTCCAAGTACCAAACTGAGTTATCAGAACAGCTTGGTTTGACCTCGGTTTCTGGAATGTTTGTCACCAGCAACAATCCTTCATCTTCTTCCTTGGCAAGGAAGTTTATTGGTTCCTCCTTTTTCTTCTCGGACCTACAATCTTTGGAAATATGACCCAGCTTTCCACAGTTGTAGCATTTTACTGAGTAACAATCCTTGGCAACATGCTCATACTTCCTACAGTTATAGCATTCAATATTGTTGTTTGTGTTTGTCCGGCCACCCCGAGCCTGACCTCGACTGTGCCAGTTCTGTTGGCCGACTCGCTCATTTCCTCGTCCTCCTCTTCCTCTACCACCTTGGCCTCTGCCTCTTCCTCGACCTCTGGTACTCTGAGCATAGAGCACCTTCTCCTCTTTTATTGTCGCCTTCGCCTGGAGAGCCTGTTCAAATGACTCCCCCTTCTTGTTCTTCCTTCTCTGCTCATGCGCTTCCAGGGACCCAGCAAGCTCTTCAAGGGTGAGCGTTGATATGTCCTTGGACTCCTCTATTGCGCACACAATATTCTAGAAATCATCTGTCAATGACCTCAGAATCTTTTCAACAACTCGATTTGACGAAAGACTCTCACCATTCTGATTCAGCTTGTTCACCACGGTCTCCACTCGAGTAATGAACTCGGATACGCTTTCGGACTCTTTCATCCTCATGTTTTCCAGCTCGCCCCTAAGGGTTTGAAGCCGGACTTGCTTCACCCGTTCGTCTCCTTTGTTTGCTTTTTCGAGTGTATCCCAAGCTACTTTGGAAGATTTTGCGTTGGCTATCTTTTCAAAGCCAGATTCGTCGACAGCTCGGTATAACAGATACAGAGCCGCCTTGTCTTTAGCTCGAACGGCCTTCAACGCGTTTAGCTGGGCATTTGAATACCCATCTGTGTTCGTCAGTTCCTCATACCCAGTCTCGACCACGTCCCAGTTATCTTGGGAGCCGAGAAGGGCCTTCATCTGCACCTTCCAGTTGTCATAGTTGGCGCCTTTCGTCAACTTGGGTAGCGGGATGCCATTGGTTAGACCTGCCATTTCTCTCAAGTGTTTACACTCAACCCACACACCTCACAAAGCTCTTGGTCGCTCCTCTCTCTCTCGGCCAGTGCACACCGCGGCGTTCTCTCTTGAGGCTGGTAGGTTCTCTCACGCTCACCTCACACACAAGCTCTGATGCCAGGCAAAAATAAAAGTTGGCAGCACTTTGTTCTCTTTAATCTCTCTCTGTTTTCTGCATCTTTTCAAATGAATTGTTACAAGTATTTATAGGCAAAATGTTTGCCTCTTCAAATGCCAAAAAATAAATCATGATGCCTATTAAATAGGTTTGTCACCCATATTTCTTGGTTATGCCACTCATGCCTAAAACCATTAATACTACTATACGAATACCAAATAACAAAAATAAACTTCCTAATTTAAGTTTTACAACAACTTTTTCTCCTGACCCGTTCAAATAAGATGATTAAACATCACCACTGTTACGCCCGGCAGCTGAGTTGCTCTGGCCATCTCCACCACCCTTCCCAGCCTCAGAAGCATCATGCTTGCTTCCACCACGTACATCATTTGGACCAGGAGTTGGAGGAGGACCACCACTGCTACCACTTCCACGGGTGGCCTCGCTATGCATTAGATGCATGCCATTATTTATCCCTCCAGATCTCAGTCCCATTTGCCCTTGGATGGCCTGGTGGTGTAGCTGCTGCTGTGGATCCTGCATTTGATGGGGATTACCAAATTGCAATGGCATCTTTGGGGGGAAAATTCCTTGTTGCTGAGCCATTGCTGCAGCCTGAGGATGTTGCATATAGAATTCTGGTTGCATCGCAGGGTGTGGGGTCATCTGCAAGTTCCCAAAATAAGGCAATTAAGGGAAAGTTAAGGGCAGCCAAAGCTAATAGACTCCAAGGTACAAGCTATGCTCAATATTTACCTGCATGGCTGGAGTTTGTGGCTGGGCATCAGCAATTGCAGCTAAATACATCAAATTCTTTTGAAGCTGAGCTTGGTACCTACGACATCAAAGCATCAGAAAATCATTACATAAAACCTACCTCACGTACTCAATAAAACACAAAGCAAAAATGCTGTAAGTATCGGCCTTGCCAAAAGATTTTAAGAGAGGCCAGGTCGAGAAGAATGAAACATCGTCAAACGCTATCTATAAAAAAGAAATTCCGACTTCAACACAAACTACCCTTCTTTCATAGACATCACTGAACTACTCAACAAGGTTAAAATGTCAACAAATCGATGCTTGAAGTTAAAACAGTTACACACAAAAAAAGTACACTCTATATATGAAAAAAATTACACGACGCTGCCATATAACAATAACCCACATCAGATTGTGTTTGTACTTTGTAGATTCTGCAACTTATACAGATATGCAAACTGTCAGGGCTCAGGGGAGAATGATGTAATTTACCTACTACTGGCATGGCACTATTTAAATTCAGAACAAAAGTCATCACAAATAGAAAATGCAGATACAACTGAGAGGTCACTTACTGGGCACATTCAGCAAGTTTCCCGAGGTTTTGATTGTCCATTATTGCCAGAATCAGCTTTTTGTTCTCATCAAGATACTGAATCATGAGCCATATAACAGGGTATTCAAATTAGACACGAGAATCTACATTCTTAATGCCTATGTCGGTATTTAACAAGTAGATCATGGGAAGTAATAATCATCGCAACAAGCATACAAAAAGAAGATACAGAAAATAGGGAAAAAAGTTTAAGTGATTTTTCAAAATAAACCTAAAACAAAAGGACAAATGAACAACTTCATGACATAGATTTCTTGATGAATCCAGTCTGCTATAGAAAAATTTTAAGCACATTAGCACCATTAGTGTTCATGTCCTCACTCCTCACAGAGACTTCAGTATTTCAACTTCTGAGAATTATGTACCATGGAGGATTCCAATAATTTCAGACTCTATGCTGCTTAGCCATGCAATGATAAACTTGTTTAAATATGGAAAAACAATTTACCTTGTCTAAGAAAGATTTCAAAAAAACAAAAAAAAACGCTAACGAACTGCCACAACCAAGTCAACAGGCAAAGCAAAACTCAATTATTTGCAGCCTACAAACAACAAGCTAAAAGATGGAAAACTCCCCAAAACTGCTCTCATTCACTCTCCAACTTACAAATAATTTAAAGGCATGAGATGGCCAGCTGCATTCTAATGCCAAGACCATTTGTATTGATCACAAAGTCCACACACATCGTACACAAGATATAGATATTCCAATAAACTGAAATATAAAAGTCATATCATGGACTTGCGAATTCTTTACAGGAAAGAAAGAGAAAATGATGAGCTGTAAGTTAAAGAGGCAAAACAATAATTTTGCCAACTTCCAATAACAAACATTTCATATAAGTAACTTAGTTTGAAGACACGACTGTTGATGTAAAAAATCATTATTTAAAAAAAAATGGCTCTCAGTTCCTACTTCCTAAACCCTGTTCAGTTTTTACTATGTTGAAGCAGAACATGAAGGCCTTGAAGTTGACACTGTACCTTAAGAGGGAACAGAGTGATTAAAACATTAAAAAGTATACCTTTTGAATTTGTTCGGTGGTTATGTTTGTGGGTGGGAATGAAGGCATCATGGGAATCATTTGCGGTGTCTGCTGCATCTTATTCTGCTTGATATGTATGCTGAAATGAATAAAGAGCACAAGCCCTAAATCCTCCAAAACTAGAATAACCAGAACTGGCGGTTAACAAACAAAAATGCGAGCATTCTACAGAAACTCCTTCAGGGAAAAGACAAGAACTTCGAGAGAAATAGGACCTGGGTCTGGGAGTAGGTGAGGTGAGTTTTGGAATGGGATTCTCTTGTCAAGATCTTTCAGATGTTGTGTTGAAAAGGTTTCTGGAATTCACGAGAAAGCAAAAACATCAACATAAATACAAGGAATATTTTAGTACTTTGATTCGCTCAAGTTGTGATTCAAAATTTTATTAAACCAAACAAACTTTCTAGATTTGGTGTGATGTGGCCTACGGGAGTTCCCAAGTGTCACGACAGGCTCCACTATTCCATATTTATAATTACTGAATATTTTTATGTATTGAGTGGATATCATTAAATTAAAATATTTAAATCCACCAAAAAAAATTAAAATATTTAAAATAATAAACTAAAATATATATTATATAATTATTTCTAAATTTTATAATTTTAAAAAAAATTATTAATAATAAATTTTATCATATTAAGTAGGATTAAATTAACAATTTTAAAAACTTAAAAGATATTATAAAAATGTAGCATTTAAAGTAAGATTGAATTTTATTTTTTTTATTTGTATTAATAATGTGTTGAATATTAAATTATAATTAAAATTTATCAAGATTATAATAAATTTTAAAAAATACTTAACATAAAAAATAATATCATCAATTTGATACAATATATCAATATATAATGTTTAAATCAAAATAAATTTAAAATTTTATGTGAATTTATATTCAATAACATAATTTGTTTGTAAAACAAGAAAGACACCATTCTTTTAGTTTTGTTTGTGAAATTCATGCATTGAGGATTTTAACGTTGAAATAAAATTGATTTATGTTTGAGAATAAATTTTTGTGAAATATTATATTGAGAGTTTATGTTAAAACTTTATAGTCATTAATCTAGATAGATCACAAGAGGATAGGATATATAATTGCCCTCACTACAATAAAAGAAGATATTATGATATGACATGATCTAGGAGAGGAGAGAACTAACCATATTGTAGTTGTCCCTAGCTAAAGAATAGGTTATTCTTAGAAGAAGCTAATCAATAAGATAGAGTTGTCTAATATGTTGAATCTACTATGCGTGACTCTTATAAAAATTTAGAAACTTGATATTTATGATATTTTGATAAATTGCTATTTCAATTTTATTTATACATATTTTATTATGCTAATTATGGATTTAAGATTTAATTATTACTTTGTTCTATAAGGTTTTTATCTTTTGATTTATGTTTAAGTTATTTAAATTTTGATTAGATATCTTATTTATATGGTGTTAGAATGTTATAAGTACTATGACTATGAATCATTCATGTATATTTAATTTTTTTATTTTTGTTCATTATAATTGTTATGCACTCATTGAGTTTATATGACTCACCCTATGTTTTTTTCAGATCATCAAACATTGGAGCTGCAAATTGCTAAAAGCTTTGGCCTATACTACTAGAGTCTTTGACAGTAAGCTTTCATTATTATACTGGTTTGGTTTATTAATTCCGTAGATCTTATTTTTTATCATGTAATAAATATTCTAATATCAATATTATGTCAAAAGTGAGTTTTGTTGACTGTTGTTGAATTGTAAATTAATTCTAATTGATTGTTGTGTTTTTGGAGCATTAAAATTATAGAAGAAACTTTATCAAAAGTTTTGGTAGATTTATTATACTATTTATTTAGAAAAAAAGAACCTTTTATGTATATTTTAGATAGACTTATTAAGTTTGATAATTTTTTTATAACTTGTGCATCAATCACATATTTAAATATGAATTATAATAGTGCTAATAGGGGTGACAAGAGGAGTCAATATACTTCGTAAAAAGTCATAAAAATAGGTTAGTTTATTCCAATCTATCTTCTAAAATGAGTTACATATTCTAACCCACCTATTTAAAAGTTGCTAATGGACTAGCAAATTGTCCTGACAAAAGACAAAAAGATAAATAAAAAATACAAAGTGAATTAGTAGGTTAATGGGTTGATAGACCAGTCTATCTAAAATTAATATAAAAAATTACAAAAATTATTAATTTATTGTATTAATAAAAATTAATATTTACTTAATAAATAATTATATTTTAGTTTTAAAATAAAAAATATGGATTCAATGGACTAAGGCTTTATTTGTGAAAATTTTTAAAAAAGTTCTTATATAAAAAAAATCAATATTAAAAATGAATAATTTTTTTTCATAAGTTAAAACAATTTATACTTTTTTTTTACAATTTGTATGAAATTCTTTCGTTTAATTTCTCTAAAATTTAAAGAGATAAATTATTTTTAATTTATAAAAAAATTAGTTATTATTTATATTTTTTTTTAATAAAAACTTCTCTAAAAGTTTATCCATATAAAACTTAATTCGCATTTTGATAAATTTAAACAAGGTAGATTAGACAAAACAATCAAGGTATATTTTAAAATCAGATTTTTGAAAAAAAGCCTAAACTCAATTTGTTTCATGGATAGGTCAAACCAAATCAAATATTATGTAAAGCAAAATGTATGTTTTAATAGAGGAAATAGCCTATTTTCATTTATAAACATAAGAATCAAATAAATGAGATATCACCTGCATTATACCTAATTCAAATTTTCATGATGTTTAAGTTTTTTATTGTGTAATATTTTCTCGCTATAAATTGAATACTTTAGCTAAACTTTAAGTCAATTTTAGGTACGTTTAGATACATAATTTATTTAAGTACTTATGCAATAAACTCTTTTAAACAATAATTTATGTTATAAATGTAATGATGAAATTTATTAGGATAAATTAAAATAACTTATTTTAATAAATTATAATAAGAAACTTATTAAATAAACTGAAAATATCTTATGAGAGTTATAAATTATTTTTTATAAATATTTGTAAATTATTCTGAAGTCCTTAATCTTGTTTTTCATAAGCTTGATCTTCATTAGACTCTGTGTTATCATGCTTCTTAAATTGTATTAATAAGTTAGATTTAAAAAGATATTTTTAACATATTTTAAGGTTGAATGAGAAATAAAATAAACCCATCTCTTATGCATTCCTAACTATACATTTTAAATGCTCATTATATAATTATTTATTTATTTCTTCTGACGCATGAGGTAACATGTAAAGTAAGAAGAGATAAATATTTAGTTTGGTCGTATTTTAAGTATTTTTGAAATTAATTTTTAATTAACATTAGAGATTTTGCCTTATTAACTAGATATTTAATTAGAATATATTAATATTGTTACTATCACCTAATTATAAATTTTTACATAGTTAAAAATAATTATTTTTTAATAACTAATTTAAAAGACATATTTAAAATAGCTTTTAACTAGTTGAAAGTGTAAAAGTTTTAAACTAACGACATGTCAAAACTAAAGCTTATTAACCAGGGTCAACTTTTTCATTGCATGAATTACGAAGATAAAATTTTGATTTTGTAAAAGAGAAAAAAACCAAAAATAATTATTTTATTCACGAAATAAGAGTATTTAATTGTGGGTTGTTTGGATCCAAAGCGACCCATGGAATGAAAAATAAAGTTATCTGTGTGACAGTTCGAAAGGAGGAAGAAGAAGAGGAGAGGGAGGAGTGAGTGGAATCCCAATCTCAATCTCAATCTCAATCTCAATCCTGGCTTCCGATATCTGGAAACGCTTATTCCCGGCACGACGAAGAGGCTCTTTAGTTTCATTTCCACTTCCAAACATAAGAATCGGAATGAGAATGGGAACAAATATAAACCTCTTTAAGCTCTGTTCTAACCTCAGTGTGGTGGGCTACTTGATGATCCTCTTGTTCGGTGCCATCGTTGCCCTCACTTACTACGCCGTCGTTTTAATCACATGGGGCCCACTCCTCTTTCGCTCCCCTTTCGTTCTCTCTTCCTTCTTCTTGGCCCTCTCTATCCTCACCCTCTTCCACATTCTCCTCATTCTACTAACCTGGTCCTACTTCATGGTCGTCCTCAACGATCCCGGTTCGGTTCCCCATGATTGGAGACCGCACCAATCCAATTCTCAAGTTCGATTCGATTTGGAACCAACGCCCTCCCCTGTTTACTGCTCTCGATGCCAAAATGCCAAGCCACCGCGTTGCCATCACTGCTCCATTTGTAAGTCACTTCACTTCCACCACCCACTTGTTTTCTCATTTCTCTTAAGCGTAATTTTTTTTATTCTTCCCTTCGCTAGGCCAAAGGTGTGTTCTCAAGATGGATCATCATTGTATTTGGGTCGTCAATTGCGTTGGGGCGCGTAACTACAAGTATTTTCTCCTCTTCTTGGTAATTCTATTTCTCTTATCCTAATACCTACCCATCTTTCCCTTAATCCGTTGCATCATTTTAATCGTTGAATTAAATGTCTAGTATTCCTTTTGTGACAGTAGGTGGGGAATGAGAAGATGAAGTGAGAGATTTGGGGTTTTACTTATCACTGCTTTATAATTAAGGACAACAATGTGTGCGTTTGGATTTAGTATTTGATTAAGCGTTTATTCAATAAGTTCTTTTTAAATGATGATTTATGCTAAATTTAATTACAAAACTTATTGAGAAAAGCTAAAACAGCTTATTTTAATAACCTATACTTCGCGATTTATTAAAATAATTGAAAATAAAACTCATAGGAGTCAAGTTCTTTAAGCTTTGTTTGTGAGTTGGTTTTCGAGGGGAAAGGGGAAGGCTTATTTAGTGAGACCCTTGGTCGGGAATTTTTAGATGAGTGGGAGAGGTTTTATAAACCCTCCAAAACCCTTTTAAACTCATATTTTTAAGCCTCCCAATTTGGAGGTTTTCTATTAACCATCTTTCTTTCTCCTTTTTCCTCTCTTCCCTTGCCCTTCAAACCCTTTCCTTCCCTCTCCCTCCAAACTCCCAAACAAAATCAGAGAACAACAAAATCTGAAAATAGTGAATGTGCAAGTGTTCAGGTGGAGAGGGTTAAATGACAAGTTATTTTTAGTGTCTGTTTTGCCTAACTCGCATCTTTTTCTCCTCTCCCTCACCATTCCTAGCTGTATACATTCCTTGAGACAACGCTGGATTGCTTAGCTCTGGTCCCTAGTTTCATCAGATTCTTTGGTGGAGCCAAGAATCATTCAATGTCTCCTGGGGGTTTTGCCGTAATCTTTCTGGCTTCTAGTAAGTATACTAGTTTGCTTGAATAAATCAAGTTACTATGACTGGCTTTTATTGAATTTTTGTAACTATTAATGCTTCTTACAGACTGTGTGCCTTAATGCAGTTCTTAATTTAGCATTTGCGCTGAGTCTTCTCTGTTTCGTAGTTATGCATATATCTCTTCTGTTAAGCAACACAACTTCAGTAGAGGTAACCATTACATTGTTATTCTATTTTTGACCTTTTTGAACTGGTGTATGGCCATGCTATTGTCAGACATGCATGGGACTGTTGTTAACTTGTGTCTGAGACCCAGCATATTGCTGTTCTCTTGATGTAGGAATTATGCCAGGCTTTTATTAGAATGGCAATCAGTGCATTTGCACGTAAGAAGCCTAAAACCCACTCAAAATGAAACATTCATATTTTTTTACTAAAACACCATTGAGCGGGAAAAAAAGTTATGACAGTTTGACATGTAGCGGTGCTCTGGACAATTTTACTTTATCTGTAGACAACATAATCATGAGATTCATTAGTAGCATGTTTTCTAAAGTCTTTTTAAAAACAAATAATCACTTTTTAAAATTGTCTCAGGAAACTAATAAAAGTAATCAATTAATTTTCCAAAATAAATTAAACCAAATGCATATTAGGGCATTTTTTATTTGGTAAGATGGCTGGGTACTTGGTGGCTGCTATTTTTGTTTCAGTGGGTTATCCATTCAACCATCAATTTCTTATAGTCTCATTTGATCTTAAAATATTTGAAAACCTGGTACACTAACTTCTAAACAATTTCAAAAACAAGTTGGCATTGTATGTTCTTGAATATTCATGTGGCTCGGTGCCTTCTTTTATCTGAAAATATTATTTGGAAATATGATGTCTTAGGTTCACGAAAAGAAAAAAGGAGTTAGGTGGAGGTATGACCTGGGACGGAAGAAAAATTTTGAGCAGGTAATATCTAATATCAAGTAGCAAAAGAATACAAAATGGTAGTGAACAGAAAATGTTTAACAATATTATATTTTTAAGCTCAGAAATTTTGAAAATAGACATTTCACATATGATTCATGAGTTTTAATGATGTGATGTATTAGTGTAATTTAACGTGGAATAAAGTTTTATGCTGTGGACTTGCTTTCATAAAAAAATCCTGTAATAATAGTCTCATGATCTGTAATTAAACTAATAGGTTATAACTCCTCTTGGTGGCCAAAATATATAATCTTAAATAATGTGGTGGTTTATTGTTATTTAACATGAAATAAAGTCTTCTACTGAGGAATCAATCATGTAATAGGTTTTATCGAAAACAAAAATATTATCCTGTAATAGTGGTTGCGTGTGAATATCGTTATCCACTCTTCTCTGATTTTTTTAGTCTATGTTATCTCTCACTTTTCAAGGTTTTTGGCACCAAGAAGGCCCTATGGTTGTTCCCATTGTTTTCGAAAGAGGATTTAGACAACATACCTGCACTAAGGGGCATTGAGTTCCCGACACGTTCAGATGTTGATGTATGAAGTGGTTAGCCTTATAGGTTTAAACCTTTTTTTCTCAGTAAGTGATGCCATTTTATGCTTACTTCATAACAGTGCAGCGTAGGGAGTGAAAATATTACTCTGTGCTTGATTGCAGATGTTTGAAATTGAAGAATTGTCTAGTGGATGTATATATATATATAATCTTTGATTCAGGTTGTACTGATTGTTCGTCAATCTAAGTGTACCTGTCGATATTGCACCGTTCTGGTGAAATGCTGCTGTAGGTTTGTATGTGGAATTGATTGAGCAGAGTGGAACTCTTCCCTTTTATCGGTGGTGCATTAATGTGATTTCTTTGTTGTATTCATTGTAAAAGGAATTTGAATTCACCCAATATTAGAGTTGAAAGTATTGCGGAGCCCAAAATGGGAGAGATGCAATTGTTGCAAATGAAGTGGAAAATATAACCTGTGGCTTCCAAGAAGTCAAGAAACACGTTCAGTCATCCCATTATTGAATTCCTAAAGTTTACTCAAGCTCTTACCACTCCAACCAGTTTTTCAATCAAGCAACAAGAGCAAAGAATGGAGAGGAGCATGTGAGGATTTTAATATCATAAATATTTTCTTTTTTTAATAAATTTTCTATTATTGACTTATTATAATGTGCATAGGTTAAAAATAAACTTATTAAATTCCTTAGAGAATCAGAGTTTCATGCAAGCCAGGAACACTCTGTTCTTACGGTTACTTTGGAACTCCTACTAATGATCAAAACCAATCAAGTGCACAATCAACTAGTGAAAATAAAATTTATAGCATAAGCTGGGAATTCCACAATAATCTTAAGGAGGAATCAGTAAATAATTTTTGGATTCCTAGATATTACATTTTTATTTTCTTATTTAATACTTATATTTGAAGAAATTGAGATTTGTAGTTGAACTTTTCAGAAAAATATATCATTACTTCTTGAATAAAATATAAGGCTTAAGGCAAATTGCCGTAAGTGGCGACACAATAAAGAGAAAATAAATCTTAAAATCACTGTTTGTAGTTTAAAAACAAATAACTGTTGTGAACAACACGTTTTCAATTTCCCATCAACAACAAAATTATATATTCGCTTCTTTTTTGAAAAAAAACGGTTTTTCAATTTAACTGTATTACTAGCCACACTTCATTATGCACATTCATATTCTCTCTATTTGGTTTCAAAAAATATTTTGTTTTATATTTTTTATCTTTATTTTTAATTATAAAATATCACTTTATTTTTATTAAGTCATTTATTTTCAAAGATTTAAACATGATTTTTCTTCAAAATTTACTATTTTTTTTACAATTTTTTAAAAATAGAATGAAAGCAAAATGATAATTTTGGAGACGTTTGATTTCAGAAATATTTTTTATTTTAGTTTTTTTTATCATTAGGCTTTTTTGGAAGATGAGATGAAGTGAAAAAGAAAAGCGAAAAAATAGAATAAAAATAAAGTAAAAAATGTGTTGTTTAGATAGATAAAAAATAAAAAATAAATAAATTAAAAAAATATGCTTGTTTGGATGAATAGAAAAGGTAATAAAAAGAAATAGATAGATAGTATAAAAAAATTATATTTTTCATGATAAAAATTAGATATTATAAAAATATTAAAACTATAAATATATTATTTTTATATAGATTTATTTTCTAAACTATCATTTAAAAACTATTTAACGCTAAATTAAACTAAAATAAAAAGAGAAAAAAAAAACCTCCTTTTACTGTTCATTTCATGGCATCAATGCGAAGTTTTTCCTATGAGCTCCATCCTCTTTCTTGTGGTTGAGTACATTTGTCCTTTTACGATCAAAGCAAGTGAGGTTTCTGTTTGTAGTTGTAATTTATAATATTCCATAATTGCTAGTTTTTTGTACGCTTATCATCATATACTATGGTTGAGTACGCACATTAATGTAATGCTTCCAAGAAGCAGTTTAAAGCTAATAATTTTTTTTTCTTTGTCTAGAAGCCGTAAAATATATATGATGTCTTCGAGGCAATTATTAACTATTCGACCAAACAAAACAGAGACTATTAAATTTAGTTGTTTCTTCTTTTTTCCATTCAGGTGTTAGTCGTAGATCCTATTCAGTTTTCACATTCATCGTAACAAAGTAATCTGCAATCCTATTATGTCCTTGATGAAGTTGACAAGACAGGTTACGATGTCCATGGAAATCCAGCTTCAGCATTGCTTGATATTCCTGATCCTGAACAAAAATAAAAAAAAATTCAATGATAAATATACTACAATCTTCAAGATGTCTTCTCTCAGTCTGGTTTGCCCACTCCCCAAATGCCACTCGTTTGTTGGATTTGATGATATATAAAAGACTATCCATTCTAATGAATAATTGTAAATTTTTAAAATTAAAAACAAAAAGTATTGCAAAACAAAGAAAAGAAACTGCAAAAAAGTAGATACTAAAAGTAAGAAACTTTACTCGATGTTGTAATGGTGATTTTTGGTTATGCGTGATCAGTAGAAGTGAAGTGAAAACATGAATTCTGATCATCGAAGCATGGCAGCATAACAATATCTAATTTACGCTACATAACCAAATTGAAGTCTCCCATGTTAAACATTTTACCGGAAAAAAAAATTAGTTGAAATATTAAGGCCTTTTTTGGAAATTTATGGAAATAGAAAAGAAAATGTTAGAAGAGCAAGAATAGAGTAAAAAAGGAGGAGAGAGAGTTAATAAGAAATCTTTAAAAATATAGAATCAGAAAAGTTTATAAAATTCATTCTTTTCGTCTCTCAAACAATGATTATTACTTTTTTCTCTATTATTTTTTCTAAAAATTAATTGTCAAGTCTAACATTGATAGAATAACAACAAATCAAAAGTTGTATAACTAACAGGGCTTTATTCTAAAATTACCTGCAACGTTGCGATATAATGATGTAATCTAACTTATAGTATAATAAATTGAGATGTGCTTAGGGTTTTTTGATATTTGGGCGATATGACCAATTTTTTTAGGTAATCATTCAATTATGGTTGCGGTTACCTTATCACTATGTCCTACTCCTAGGTCTAGTTGCAATGGTGTAGGGTTGAACTTGTATAAAGTGTTTAATAAAATTGATTACATTTAAATATTTAAAGTGAATTATAAGAATTGAGATTAATACAATTAATAATATATAAATGTTTATGTTAGGAAGTTTAATCACGTATGAAGCATAAACTATATTTTGGAAACGGCAGTTCCAGTTTTGGATGGTAGCAGCATCAGAGCGAACAGCGGTTATGTCATGTTTGGCTAATTTTGTAAAAGAGTGAATGCGTGAAGCAAGAAACCAATATTTCAGTTAGAGATAGAGATGAAAATGGACACGATATGGGTAGGGTAATATAATAAATATCTTTATATATGCATTTTAAAAAAAAATACTCATATCCAATATTAATTTTTGTATCGTATCCGTACCTTTTGGATACCCACGTACTCGTCTTGTACCTATTATTCGTACTTATTTGATAAAAAAAAATTTATAAAAAAAATATATTTATATAATTTCACATAAGTAGCATATAATATAAAAATTTAATAAGTAGTTGCCGAACAAGGTATAAACATAGATAAAAAATAAATATTTAAAGATCACAAATGCTATCGGCAACATTAAAGCGACAATGAAATATATATGCATAATGAGTAACTCTTAGTGTGAAATCACTTGGTGACTTTTTGTGGCAGCGTTAACAACTAACTTTAATGAATAACATTTCATAATTGTTAGGTTTTAATGAGACAGACATTGAGAATGAGAATAGAGTTAAGGCAAAGAAGTTCAAGTACTAAACAACAACAAAAAGTGGATACATAATTTTTTTTTAAACTTTTGAATTTGAAATTATAAAAAAAATAATAGATTTAATTAAAATAATATATATATATATATATATTAATACTAGTATTTTTAACTCATATACTATACAAAAGTATTTTGTTAAAAATATAAATTTTTAAAAAATTATTTTAATGAATTAAATATTTATAATGTATATAAATTTTAAAAGAAAAAATTTGAATAAAAGATAAATAGTCACAATAAAATTTTATAATAAAAAAATATACATGTATATCAAAAAAATTATACTTTTTTATTCAAAAAATTAACAAATAAGAATTAACAATATTTTTTTATATTTTATATCTTTTCAAAAAAATTTGAAAGTAAATAAATGATAAGAATAATATTATTTAAATTCAATAGATTATAGTTGTGCTTATAATATACATGTTGCATAGAAAAATATTATTTTAAATTAAAATATAAAAAATAAAATTTAAATATTATCCATAAAAATAATAAGCTTATGGTAATAGTAGGTGATTGTAAAATTTATAAAATATTTATAATATGTTTATTATTTATCATTCACTTTATTATTTAAATATCAATATAATTTTATTAACAAAAATATTTGTGTGAAAAATATTTTATATATGTATCATATATAAATAATATTTTTTTAAAAAGTCAATCTTATATCAACTGTGTAATAATTAAATTGTATTAGCGTAATTAAATGATATAAAATAGTAAATAAATTTTTCTATTAAAAATATAAACTAAAATAAATTTTTTGGTTTACTTTATTATTAAATATATTTTTATATTAATCTTATATAACTTCACATAAATAGTATAATAATACAAAAATTCAATGCATAGTTGTATAACAAATTTTAATAGAGATGAGTGCGGGTATAAGGATAAGTACTTAGATACCTATACTCGCACCCATCTCTATTAAAATTTGTGAGTATTTACCTATACACATATCCATACCCATGTAACAAGTAAACACTCTATCCATTATATATAAATTTTGCTAGTGTTCATTAGATACTTTACCCATTGTCATTCCTAATTATAGTTAAGCAATACACTTTGTTATATAAATTTTATGTGCTTTAATGGAGAAAAAGCCAGAGGAACCAGATTTTTTAAATTTTATTTTAGATTTAATTAGACTTTTAGTTTCCTCAATTTTCTAATGCCTACAACTTTTAATTTATTATCTTTACCCAATATTTTTTAGATTTAGGAGGATTTTGATTGTATATGAAATAATTTTAAAGTTTAGAGGTAAGAAATTTAGTAAAAACTTGATAAAAATTAAATTTTATACGATGCGATATTATAGTTTGAAGAGGGAAATTTTGAATTTTTTTATTTTCGGTAAATTTTAATATTTTGATGGGTAGGTTTAATATATATATATATATATATATATATATATATATATATATATTATTGATAGGTAGGTTTTGAGTAAAAATTGTGTTTGTGGATGTATTTTTCAAATTTTGATCCATTTTAAGGGACATGAATAGAGTTTAAGAGTTATGATTATATTTCATAAAAATGTGTGATAACATTAAATGGTTTACAAAAATCTAAGTAAAATGTTTTTTGAACTAAATAAATTAGAGTTTTAGTGATTTTAAAATGACATTTTAGAATTGATCCAATCAATTACTCTAATACACCAAATCAATTATTGTAGTTTAATTTTTTATTACTTGTTAGCAATACATGATAAATTATGATAGGCTGATCAAGTAAAAAGCTTTTGGAACATCATTTATAATTATGATATTTGCCTCATTCCTAATCAATATAGTTTGTTTCTAAATTAATAGCAATTATTAGACAAAATGACCCTAGTCGTTAGGAGTTGTGCCTAATCAATTAGGTAGCTTTGTAGCAAATAATTCAACAAAAGTCTTAATCAATTTAGCAAATGATCTCAAATCAATTAGATTGCATATTTATGTTAAATTATTTAAGTTCTTAATGCAAAAGAATATTTTTTATTCTTATTTAAATTCATATGATTTTTTAATTTATTAAAGAGTATTTTAGATTTTTTTATAAATGAAATAATTGACAAACATTTATATAATATTATATCATAAAAAATCTTAATTTTTTATTTTTTCTCTCATCATACAAATATTTTACTTCTAATTTACTATACATTGATCTTTCAAATCAATGATTAGATTAATTAATCTTACGTTTTAGTTTTGTTAAGTAACGGAATATTAAAATTTAACATATAATATTAATGAATCTAACTTATTTATTAATATCATAATATTTTACGTTAAGAGTATTATTTTACTAATTTTATGCTATATTTTAACAATAAAAGGTAATATTATATTATTTGAAGATAGATTGTATAAACTGGACCATAATTAATTAAACTTTGCAAGAGATCATAGTAGATACCTCTGCCTTGTTTGGACGAGAAAAAAAATAGAGTAGAAAAAACATGCAAATAAGTATTTTTTTTTATTTGGCTAAAGAAAAAAGGATAAAAAATTAACTTTTAAACACAAAAATTCATTTAATTTTTTCATTGAAACAAAGAACTTGAAGGGTTACAGGAAGAGAATATAAAAGAAGAGAGTGTATATATATTATAAGTAATGTGTTGTATCAAAACGAAATATAGAGAGAAAAAAAAATAAAATCAAATAATGGGTGTTGATATCTATGAATCAGACTTGATATAATCATGCATGTGCGGTGGATGTTTTATGGATAAGAGCTCACAAAGTTGTGCATGCGTTACATGACAAAATTTGCAGTGACTTCTAGCTAATATGACGTATATAGAAAAGATTGCCAAAAGGAACCAAATCACAACAGAAATGCAAACACAAAGCAACACAATGTTAGCTTCAACTTGGCTTTTGTCAAAGTAAGTTTTTCCTTCATTAATCAACGTACGTGCAGCATCAGATTCCCACCGAAGCACCAAACTTCAAACAAATATATGATGTGTCGATTACATTATAAGGCCTAAATTAGACCCCATTTCTCACAAACATTCATACCCCATAGAAAATAAAGACCAAGAATAATGAAATTCGCTTTATATATTGTGATTCTCTTTATCTTTCTCTTTCAATGCTCGAATGGCTCTAATCTTATCCTTCAATCTTGCAGAGAGGCCTCCAAGAACGACCCAAATTTGAGCTATGATTTCTGTGTTGCATCCCTCAAAGATGCCTCCTCCAAGTGGCAACCAGCACCCTCCAACCTCGAAGATCTTGTGGGCATGTCAATTCAGCTAACAAAATCCAACGGAACCAAAATGGTTTGCATAATTTCGGAGCACTTGAAGAACAAAAGTTTTGATCAATATAGTAAGGCTTGTCTAAGGGATTGCTTTGATCTCTATAAGGATTCCCTTTCAGCTTTAGAAGATGCCATGGTTGCTTTCAAGTTCAAGGATTTGGACACGGCTGGTATACACGTGAGTGCTTCCTTGGATGACTCAGTTACCTGTGAAGATCAGTTCAAAGATAAGAAAGGTGAAATGTCCCCTTTAACAAAGGAGAACCACGTTTACTTTGAACTCAATGTAATATCTTTGGCTTTTATCCAAATGTTCCGCCAAAATTATTGAGGAAAAGCATATACATATTGTCAAAATCATGAAATGGGTTTGTCTTAAGTTATTACATGGAGAGAATAATGTTTTTGCTTCTAAAAACTTAATACAATGTCATAACTTTGTTAGTCCACCTAATATGAATCATTTCTGTTTGAATGATTGTGAACTTGTAAAGTTCTTCCACTCCTTACACCCAAAAGTATATTTTATTCTGTGTTTTTTTTGTTGGTTTTAGTTGATGCGTGATGATCACAATTCAGAACTAAAGGTTTGATTCCTTTTATTATTTTTTGGATGTGATGACTAAGAATAAGTGAGAGGCTAGTTTACAATTCAGCATGATTAGACAAAGTGGAGGATCATTGCGATTTAGAAGAGGCCATTTCCCAGGTCCCCACCATGCACCCAATTCTTACGTGGGTTGGCAGTTTTCCCTGCCACTAATTAACTTCATATACCGTTTTGGCTATGCTAGCTTCGGTTAACACGTGTTTTGTTGGATAGAAGAGACAAAAAGTAGATAAAAAAATAGGGAAGAAAAAAGAATGAGAGTATACTAAATACAAAGAGAATAAAAAGATAGCTTTTGAAAGTTATAAACTTTTTTTTTACCGAGCACTTGTACAACAAGTTATTGACTAAGTCAATAAATTATAAATTCTTAAATACACTACAAGTTACTTTTACTAAACATAGTCTTATTTTGTAGATTAAATTGACAGGCTCATTCAAGAGAAAACATTTAAAAGAAAAATGAAAAACAGATGTATGGGAAGATGAATAAAACATTGTTATAATGGAACTGATTTGTTGTCTTTGAGTCCATGATAACTGCCTTAATAGATAAAGAAATCTCTCTCACTGAGAATAGAAAATCCTCACATGGTGGTGCTGGTTCCTTTTCTGTAATTATGCTTAATTTCGTGCCCCAAACAGAACAATCCTAAGTAAATATCATAAATATTTTTTATTCTTTAATAAATATTTTCAAGTGCTATGTGTAAATTACAGATCTTAGCATATCTTTAAATATGTTAATTTGGGTTTGATTTGTGTTTGAATGTATAAAAAGACTTTACCGAGAAAGATTTATATGTTTCAAAAGGGATTAATTTTGGGATCTTGATCGAAAGATTTGCATCACTAAACTAGTTAATGATATTAAGTTCGACTTTTTAACAATGTGTCTGCATTAATATTTAGTGAGAGTCTTATCATACATTATAACTTAACTCAAATTAGTTTCACACCATGAAATTCAAATACCAATCCAAACAAAAGAGATAAAAAAAAAATGAACACAAAGTTAGAGAACATTTCATATATGTATTAAATAATACATAGACACACTGTTACATTTTATATTAATTTTTTTTATACTTTTATTTGAATCAATTTATAATTTAATTAATGGTTGCAAGTATAAATTTTGCGTATGAATGTTAGACTAAATAGCTATAGTTACATAGCTCGAACAAAATTATTTCTTTTAAAAATATACTTGTAATAATCTAGAAAAAAAGTTACATTTAATCAAAACTTTGAACTGATTCCTTCAAAACATCCAAAATAGACAGGGTAGAAGGCACGAATATTTATGGGAATAATTTTAGTTGTGCTGGACTCTAACAAAAAAGACACGTGAAGATAGTGCTGGCAGTACCAACAACAGGGGCTTGAGGTTCTAGAAGTTGATTGAGGAGGAAGAAAACAACAAAAGACAGAGAGGGCTTTGTTTCTGATGTGATGAGCGATTCCACCTAGGACATGTTTGGCACGATAAACAATTGCATGTGATTTTTTTAGGAGAAGAATATTCTGTTGAAGAAGGGGAACAGGTGAGTAAGAAGAGGAAGCAGAAGAAGATGAGCTAAACCTGTAGCTAAATGTTAGTACTTAGTTGCATTGCAAAGGTTATTTTATGGAAGTAGCCAATGGGCAATGACAGTCAAGGGGTTTATTGAGGAGCTGTGGAGTTACAACTTCCAAATTTGAAGGTTTTGCAAGACTTCTACTTGTTTGAATTTGTAGGAGTGGATGTAATATTAGGATATGATGATAAGTTGAAAAGTCTGGGTTTGAGGCACCATTTGCTAGAGATTCAACAGATAATTGAGGTAAGAGGGGACCTAATAACTATATCTGACAGCACAGCAGTTGTGAAGGAGATGCATAATGAAGTACAGGGTATGGTGGGTGCAACCAAGATCAATATTTGTTGATAATGGCTGTGGCGGTTTTTACTTGCATGACATTTTTACTATTTAAAATCCATCAGAAAAGAGTTTGGCACATTTGATCATTTGTGGCGATGTTTATCTGAAGAACTGCCAAATACAATTGTGGCTCACGTGGAACTGGTTCTTAAAAATGCTGGAAAATATGTTTGTGGCGGTTTTTATCTGAAAAATGATATATTTAACCCCAGAAATGATGATTTTTCTTGTAATGTAAAGCTTTGATTATGTTTAAGAACGTAACAAGTTTAATATATGTATGTTTTCATAGAAATGATGACTTTTCTTTTAGTGTAAATCTTTATGTTTAAGAACGTACAAGTTTAATATGTATGTTTTCATCTTTATATGATGCAGCTATTGTCTTGTTGAGAAAGATGATAAAAGTAAGATAGTGGTAGTAGCATCGATTTTTTAAATGTATACTCTCAAATGAGGAAGAGGTAAGCGATCGAGTTTATAAGGTTTTAAGTAGTTTATTGTTTTACACTCCTTGTTTTCATTTTAATAACTTGGCCACATTAGCATTACAATTAAAAAGGAAAAATAAATTCTGATGATTTTAATTCATTATTTTTTAAGATGCTGACTTTCCCTTTGTTTTTCTAATCTAGAGCTAGAACAAGCGGAGCAAGACCAAGTCTGATGGAAGTGATACCAATGAGTCTCAATAGTCGGGTCTCAAACACATTCAAGATTGCCTCTCTATTTGTTGCTGATGAAACTATGTTTGAAATACCTAACTTGATGATCTGCTATAGCAGATGTAATACCTAACTAGTTGATATTATCAAATGCTGCTTTCAAGATTTTATATAGAGAAGCTGCAGAACGTGTGGTTACCCCCAGCAAAAGCAGGGAAGGTGAACTGCAACTCACTAGACAACTTGGTGATGTAATAATAGAATTAGCTCAGACTGCACTAAGATGAGATAAGCAATCAAATCTAAGTGATTTAATAAGCACAGACTTTTGTTTATTTTCGTGAAGTGTGTGAAGCTATTGTTGGCTATTAATTTGTTGAGAATTATGTAACACTGTATTGTTTGATGCTTATTGAGTGGATATGAAATTGAAATTGATAGTATTAGTGATATCATAGGGTCATATTTATTATTTATAAAAATTCATACAATAAATATATAAGATCTTCATGATTGAAAGAAATTTCTTTGATAACTTACATGTTTTGTAAGTTTTATTGATACATTATTTGTTGATATATTTGCTTTTTCCTTAGTCAAAAACATAATTACAGGTTTAAAAGATTGAAAATAACTATCATCATCTGTGATCATTTGATAGTTGAGAAATAAATTTTTTACATAATCAAGATTAACGTGTTATTTCACTTGCAGCAAACCTTAAGTACTTAATTGAATAATGAGATTTTGATGTCAAAATTTAATGTTACAAATATATGTTATATTTTGATCGTAATTTATTTACATAAAATGTTATGTGTGGGAACAGTGATGCACTATGCGTGTGTTTCCCTGTAATTCGTGGTCTAGGACAGATAATAATAATAATAACAATAGTTTTTTTTAACGTGTAATAAAAAGTATACAATAAAAACTTATGTGAAAAACAAAATACTATTATATAATTAAATATATTAATAACGTTAAATGTTATTGTTTAACTTGTGTACTCGAGTACACATTAAAAAAAATTATATATAATAAAAAAGTTTTTATGATTTGCATGTTTTCCATTGTATAGTGTTCCACCCTATCAAAATTTTCTAGCAAAAGACCTAAAGCAATTTATATTAATAAGTCAGTTGAGGACTAAATCTTAAAATTCATTTATGAAAAATAGTCATTTAATTTAATTATAAAAAATAAAAATAAAATAAAATTTAAATATGTGATCTACAATTTATTTTAATCTTTTAATTAAAATTTGTTAATTAATTCTTATATAGATGGTTTGTAACTATTAAGTACAGTATAACACGCTATTACATCTTTACTTATGTTAACCAACGATGATTCAAGACAAGATGACTAGAAAAAAAAAACTCTTTATTTTTGTCCTTCATACAATATTTCGTTAAGAATGTTTATAAAATAAAGTATTTTTAGTTGCCTTGTGTGTAACATTTTTAATTAGTACAGACATATATTATATTAATATGTTTTATCATCATTTCTACAAGAGTTAATTAACAAATTTTAATAAAAAATAAAATAAAAAAATTACGCATTCAAAATTAGTTGTAATATTTTATTCTTTGAAGCACTAAAGTGAAGAATTCCTTATCAATTAAGGTTTTATTCGCTACTTGAACATTTATTAGGGATCTATGATGAAAAAAAAGGTCCATCAATCAATAGTCATACAAAGCATATTTATTCTGCCTTAGAGTAAATTTTCTATAGTCATGTTCCTCGGTAGTTGTATTTTCTTATTTTGGTAACTTTTTCTCATTTCAATTTTTTTCAAAATAAAATTACAAAAAATAAAATAAAATCATACAGAGATAGTTGTTGCTATTTTAAGAGAAGGGTTGTTTGGGAAGGGAAGTTTTGGAAATGAAGATATAAATTTATATTTTAAATAAATATATTTAAAATTAATATTTTTAAAAATAAAAGATATAAATTAATATATTAACAAAAATTTAATATATTAATAATGTATTTGATATTATAAATAATATATAATTTTTTAATTTAAAATTAAAAAATATATCTTCCCTTCTCTTTTCCTCTAAAAACCTCCTCTCAAACATATCTTAAAAATATTAAAAAAAAAACCTTTAGTCTTAATTGACATGTTTGATAAATAGATGCTACACGATATAGTTTTTTGCGTCGACGTACAAAGAAAATGGGAATTCAAACTTGCAAAAAGTGAAAACTATATGTCATTTTAGTTAAGGCTTGAGGAATTTATTTGTCTAAAATTATTAAGATTTTAATTGTAAACTCAATTTACAAGCGATAAAAAGTGATTAAACTTTAAGATAATGAAATATTTATCTAAAATATCTTTGATAATTTAGATTTAAAGTTGTCTTATTTATATAACTTTTGATTTGTTTTTAACTCACCAATATAAAATTTTATTATATTAATACCTTAGTTTAAGACTTGCAAATGTATAGAAGTATAATTGGGCTCAATTTATTTTTTTAACAAAATCTAATAGGACAAGAAAATCCACGATAACCCAAAAAAAAAAAAAGAGTTGGGGCAGACTTATGCTTGTAGCTCTGTTTTTATGGAGAGCTTTTACATGTGTGCTGGTTTAATCATCATTAACTTTTCTCTGTTCTACCTATATTGAAAAATTTTAAAAACTAATGCTATTGCTTATTAGCTAAATTGCCTAACCCGTGAGGGCCTTCCTTTCAATAAGCAAATTTCTGGCAACATTCAGAATAGGAATAAGTTAACTTTTGGCACGTTAATGAGGTACGCATGAGATTTTAAGAATTTTGTCTTAAGAAATTACCAAACAGAATAGCACAAACATTTAGCAATTCAATGTGCGATAAATAACCTTTATCACCTCCAGTGACAATGAAGACGTTTTCTTCGACTTCCTTTGGTCCTTAGTGGTGAATATGTCATTTGTGTGTAAACTTAGGAAGCTTCCGCAGTTAAAATGGTTCCCACGAAATTGCCAACTTTTTGTACTCAATAACAAATGTAAAAGCTAAACAGTACTCTCTTGTTTTGAATACTAGAGCATAATTAAGCAATCCATTAAGGAAACTTCCCTTATGATAGTACTTGCCGCTCCTCTTGAACCCCTTCATTTATATGAACCACCCATTCTTTCTATAGCTTTGCACCAACGTTCCCAGGCAGTTTGAGTTTATACCCAACAAATAATGTTACACTCTCCTTTCTTATGCTTCTCTTTCTGCCTTACAGTACTGTTTCTCATCACACTCCCTCTTGGAACAAACTCTACCTTAATGGTGCCCAAAGACATAATTGACCAAACCTGCCAACAATGTGCCAACCAATCCATCATCTTGAGCTATGGCTTCTGTTCAACTTCCCTTCCAGTAATTCCAGTGAGTCACTCAGCAAATCTTGAAGGGCTAGCATTGGTTGCAATGGAGCTAGCTCTAGAGAATGTGACTAGCACAGTGGCAACCATAGAGAAGCTATTAGATAGCACAAGTATAGATAACTTGGCTTTGGGATGTTTAGCAGATTGCTTGGAACTTTACTCTGATGCAGCATGGACAATAGTGAATTCCATAGGAGTTTTCTTATCTGGGAATTATGAAGTGACTAGGACATGGATGAGTTCAGTTATGGAAGCAGCCTCAACATGCCAGCAAGGTTTTGTGGAGAGGGGTGAAGTTTCTCCTTTGACACAGGAAAATTACAATCTCTTCCAGCTATGTGGTATTGCACTTTGCATCATCCACTTGGCTCAGTCTAACCCTGCAATACCTTATGAATTGTCCCACACATGAATCTGGCCTTCCTCTTTAATAGACAATAATGTGAGACATTAGTAGCTCAAAATGGAAAATAGGTGTGAGAGATGGAAACAATGTATGTTAAAAGAAAGAAATTTAAGAGTCCAAGACAGATGAGAGATGCATGCTAGACATCAAGACATGGTTTTCTTTTTTAATTTTATTTTTGTTTCTATTAAGTAAAATCTTTTTTTAGTACTCAATGAAAGATATGTTGCTTATACGTTTCCTTTATAATTATTTTTCTTTTTAACTTAGTTCATCATATTTAAATTTTTTAGTAACTTCTCCTTCCTTGTTTAATGTAACTCAAGATTTTGGATCATGTATCATCAAATAACATGATAATGTCATATTATGAGCAAGAAAGTATAAAAACAAAAAAGAATTTAAGTCACTCTCATTAAGAGTGTACTTTAACTTACAAAAATAAATAATTTAAAAATATAAAAAATTGGGATTTGAGAAGAGCTAGAAAATTTTAACTAATGTTTACGGAATAATAGGTACATATACAATGAATTTTAGAATCATAAACATATTTATATATTTAATTAGTATAATTAAGACCTGTTTTGACTCATTTATCATTTAAATATAAATCATTTGTATTGAAATTAAAATATTTTAAAAATACATTTCTGTTAACTTAAATAAATTAACAAAATTAGGATTAATTTGTAATTGATTATTTTTCGTCAGTTCAAATCATTACCAACATGCATTTCACCGAACACCGGTCCAGCATTTATTCTGATCTAACAACTCAGAGTTAATATGTATATGAATTTTATCCTTTTCGAATTCATGAGTGGTAAAGTTATAAAGCTAACAAAGTTCTTCCTATCAAATTTTAACACAACTGTATTATTAACGTTTTAAACTGTATTTTTTACTTTTAATTATATTCATTTATACTCTCAAAATAAATTAACTGTATAAATTAAAATTCATGCAGAAGTTATTGAATAAACCTTTGAGTTAATTAAGTTATATAAACTAAATATTTTAAAACTTAAAATTTATTTATTAATTTTAAATTTATAAAAGAATATTTATTTTAATCCATAAAATGATAATAAAAATAAATAGTTTTTAAAAAATTTAAGACTAATATTTAAAGAAATAATAAAGATTAAAATTGATTCATATTCCAAAATTAATCTGTTAATAGTTTACTCTTGGTTATGATTGACCAGCTAATAACGAATATAAAGCGAAAGTAAAAAACAAAAACAGCAATAATTATTTGGTAATAAAAAAGAGTAACAAAATCCAGGTAGATGTGCACTAAAGTTAATTTAAAAATTGCACCCACCAATCCATGACCCAAGCATATATGATAATAAACTCTTTATGCAGTGCTTTGGTTTGCGGAGGAGATTCTTAAAGAGAGTTGAGAGAATTGAATTGTGGTGATTGGTAGAGTGAATTGTAAGAATGGCGCCAGTGTCGGCTCTTGCAAAGTACAAGTTGGTGTTCTTGGGGGATCAATCCGTCGGCAAAACCAGCATCATCACTCGCTTCATGTACGACAAATTCGACAACACTTATCAGGTCTTCTTCTCAGATCCAATCTCACTTTCACTTTTTTATTACCCTTTTTCAGAGATCGCGCTTTTACTTGCATTCGGATCGTTGCTTTTGTTTCAGTTTTCCTGTGATTGTTGATACATTACCCAATTTAGCTTCGGTTTGTTGATGTTTTTGACAAAATGTTAAACGGCACCAATGAGTTTTTGTAGAAGGTTTTTATTTTTATTTTTTTTATCACTCACCTTACAATTTTGTCGATTTATATTGATTAGGAGACATTTTCTAATAATTTTCATTTTAAAGCTTTGGTGCTATGCCTAATTGTGATTTTGATATATTTATGTTGTGTGAGCAATTTACGGGGAGGGAATGGGACAGGGAGGAGAGAAACAAAACAGTTTCCATTCATCTTGGTTCTTACTAAGAAGTGTAAACTTAACTCTGACATGAAATGTTAATGGAGCCTTAGTTTCTCGCTTTACACACTTACTTATCTTATTTTAGAGCTAAATCCTATAACTTATGTCTTAGAAGCTTGAACTATATGGAGGTGAAACCCCTTAGCAGTAACCTATTTGTTCCCCCTTTTAGTTGCCTTTTCTTGCCACTTTTTCGATGATAAGAAATTAAGAATAGGACCCACATTGAAGATGTATCCACTAACTCTACCTTTGTAGTCATGCTGACTCATACCAAATAATTTTCAGACAATAAGGTTATCTTTCAACTAGTTTGTCTTATGCATATTCTTGCCCTGTCTGCATTTCCATTTTTCTATATTGATTTGACATTTTAATTGGACTCACTTATATTTCCTTCTGCCAAACAGGCTACGATCGGTATTGATTTTTTATCAAAAACTATGTATCTTGAAGATCGAACTGTCCGACTGCAGTTGTGGTAAGATGTGGCTTGATTGTTTTGAAAATTCTGTTTGGAAGGTTAAGGAATGGTAGGGGAAGTAAGAATCACATTGTTTGGTCTGAAATGAAGATGAGTGCCAATGCTATTATGTTAACAATCTAATTTTTCTCTTCCTCATTAAATGTACAGAGATAATGAAGTACTAAATTTTGGAATCTAGTAGATAATGTAAATTCTATGCAGATGAGGGATGATGAACAACCCCTCTCACCCTCCTTTTTCTTTTTCAATTTCATCCACTCCTAAAATATGCGAGTTATTGAACTGTTCATGCATCACAATTTGATGTTATCTTGTTTCTTTTGTATATTACATTTTATTTTTGTATTTCAAAGATTTATTCAGTATATCGGACAATGCTTTGTGAAGGTGTAATCTTTTATGATTGGTTGAAGTCTTTTTTTTGCCTTTATCTTATACCTTTTAATCTGAGTATATTGTCTGCTTTCAATGGTTTTTAACTATAGTAACTATTCTGCTCTTATATTCATTTGTATTTGTCTTTATAGCATAAAATCAGGTTTTGGAGTTTGTTGATTTAAGCTGAACATGATGCTATAATGCATCTTGAGATTTGCAACATATGGTGTTTATAACTTTAAAATATTTGATTCCTGTTTTGTATGTTTGGCATTATGTCCTACTTCAAATGTTTGATGATTGATGTATACTGGCAAACCAGACTGGTCTACATAAAGTTTGACGCTTTTGATTGACAATTTTTAATTTCCATATATAAGCATTATCCTATTGATTTATTATTGAATTCTTTTCAACTTTTTCCCTCTCAATATCTTCATTTTTACTTCATGTGCGGTGATAGGGATACTGCTGGACAGGAAAGATTTAGAAGTCTAATTCCAAGCTACATTAGGGATTCCTCTGTTGCTGTCATCGTGTATGATGTTGCAAGTATGCCATTTAGATGTGTTTTCTTTTCACCTATTCCTTTTGTGACAATTTTACTTTCTTGCAAATTTTTCATTATAATAAGAGTTCAATTTTGGTACATTGTTAGTGTAAAGATTTTTATATTGTCAATCAATTAGAAAATATTGTAGATATGATTTTTAAAGTAATTACTGCAAAAATCATTGATTGTCAATGACATGGCAATTCATGATTGGATAATAATGTAGAAAAAGTTTACACTGTTAGTGTATTTTAATCAAATTCATATTATATATGAGTAGTTAACTAGAATTGTTTTTCCTTTTTGGATGCCAGTTATTTGAAATGTTGAATTTGAAGAGCTTTGAGTTTGCAATTCATTATTTATTTTTCAATATGTATGTAGCAGTAGCATATTGAAAAAAGATTTTCACTTTCTTTTAAATTATTGCTTTTTCTCTCTTTTGAATATAAGTGGAATGTTCATTTTTCAATTCTCCAGAAAAAATTAAACATTTTTCCATTAGATGAGGTCAGCTGTATGGACCAAGTAGCACTAAGATAGTTTTACCTACAGTTTATGTTGGTCTCCTCCTACCTCTAGTGAAAAGATTACCCTACATCTGATCTACTCTTCTTACTAGAGCAGTTGAGCTTCTACATGTTTTCTCCATCCATGGCCAAACCACTCAAGGAAAGATTCTACCATTTTTCTACTATAAGTGCTACCTCAACTTGCTCTTTAATACATTCATTGTTAATCTTATTATGTCTAGTATGTCTGCACATCTTATGCAGCACTCTCATCTCTGCACACTGAGTTTATTTTCTTTTTACTACATAACACTTAATACAACATTGCAAAACTGATAGTTGTGCAGTGAATTTTTCCTTTAAGCTTGAGCAATATTATGTTGTTGCAAATAACACCTGAGGCATTCCTCCATTTCAATTATTACATTCCCTCTATCTCTTTATTGATTTGTATGATGGATGTAAGATGCTTAAAGCCATGATAGTAAAAATTGTGATCTCACTAGTAAGATTGCATGATTCTACAATTTGTGGCAGCCTGTATGATCTTGATCATGCTTTGACTTTCAATCTGGTGGGATTGCCAGGCTTAAACTAAAAAACAGTGGGATCATGCGATCCACCGAGTTGGACCACAAAAACATGTTTTCAGTTTTAACCCAATGCCCAGGTGGATGAAACCCAAAATCCCATTTTCCTCTCAATCCTAAATGATATTATTTTCTCAATACCCACCCTATTTTTTGCATCATGGTGTTGCCAATCTTCTTCTCTATTCCTGGGTGTTGGTTCATTGGGCTTTGGGTGGAGAAGGAGGAATTTTCATCTTCGCATGGGTACTGGTTCAACTGCTGGTTTCCCTTCCTCTGTTTTTTTTATTTTTTTATGTTCTCCTTTTTGTTTTTGTCACTCACTTGTCAAAAGCTTGGTCTTTTGCATTTGGAGTTGTTATATGACCTTTAGATCTTCAATTCAAGTTTAATTAAGTTTTTGTAGTGATATAAAGATTATTTTTCTTATATATAGATATGTATGTATTTGAATTCAGTAAAATCTTGATTTTCACTTCCTTGCCTAAAGTCCTTCCACCTCCCTTTTTCTTTTATATATATATATATATATATATAGATATAGATAGATAGATAGATAGATATATGGTGGTTACATGGAATAAACATGTGGCCTTCCTCTGAGTTGAAGGTAGGACTAAGCCAACTAGGTGGCACATCACTAGGAACCAGAACCTTTTAAGATGCAGTCTTCTTTAACAGCCACTGCCTATTACCTGTAGACAACCCAAATCTCTCTGGATGACTTGAAGCATTTGTGCATATTTTTTTTGTTCCCTGTTCCAAAACACTTTGATGGATCCTTTCTGATTATTCAGCACTCTTGTGATATAGGTCGTCAGACTTTCCTCAACACATCAAAGTGGATTGAAGAGGTACGCAGTGAAAGAGGCAGTGATGTTATTGTCGTTCTTGTTGGGAACAAAACTGACCTTGTGGATAAAAGGTAATGAGTTATCAACAGTAGACACACTTTATCTGATAGTTTACACTGCCCTGTTTCATGGCGTGATACAAATCACTATCTAATTCCCAACCCAAAAACTGAATTAACTAACTATAATAAAGTAGTTAACATTCTGTTTCGAACAGTTACACACAAGTCAAGTTATAATCCTTGCATCTCTTATATTTTTCCTTATATTCACTCTTTTAATTGGAGGACGTTGCCTGTCATGTTCTCCAATATTTAATGACCTCTTTGATGTTGATTTTGGCTAATTACTAATTAAAACCCAGAAAAAAGTATGTGGGTTAGTAAAGAAGAAATTGTTGTGGTCCAGGAAAGTATAACTACACAAATATTCATTACATTCTTCACAGGCTAGATTATGGGATTTGGGAAAGAGAATGGAAGAACAATAGATTCAAGGTAATTGAAAAATTCGTCAAGCATATGAAGGGGGATTAGTGTTTCATGGAGAAATGAGTTATAAATTGGATAATATTTAACTAAATTGCTGGAATAGTTACTTTGCCACTGTTTTAAGCCCTGAATTGTCTGCAAAATTCCTTGAGAATGAATGACTCGTGACAATTAGTCCCTTAAAACAAAATGAAGAACATTTCAAGCTATAAATTAGGCATATACAACACTGTTTACAATGCATGAAAGACCAATAGAAAACTATGAAATAATCCAGTTTGTTGACCAGTGCCTCCCTTGTCGTCAACATGGCATTTTTTAGGATTTTATTCAATCTCTTCTTTTAAAGATATTTATTATCAGATGTGTATGTCTGAGATAGATATCTGAGGAAAATGGGAGGAGGGAAAGTAAAAGATGTCATCCAATTTGGCTTTCTATCCTCATACTGTGTTTGCAAAATTATCAGGAAAAACTGTTAAAATGTTAAAATATGGTTTTTTTTCTTGCTGAAGACTGAAAATTATTTCCTAACTTAGTTAATTGGGAAAGTGTTTGATTTTCCTAACCACGCATTGGTAAGGGTAATTTTTGGTAAAATAATCACTTTTTACTTAGAAACGCTCAGGATTTTGCAAAAGAAAAAGTGATTTTGTCCCAAATAAAGCTAATCCAAACACAGTCTTGCTTAATTTTTAGACCAGTCACTGTTATCCATGAAAGATGAAGTCAGGTATTAGCAGAATCCTATATCCTATGAGTCTATGAAAGGGAGATCTATATTTGCTTCTAGGCTTTGGTAGCTTGAATGGATTGGCCCTTGAGATGCTTCGTGTGCACTCTGCATCCTTGTTCTGCTGTCTTTCTGTAGTTTGAACTGTTTTACATTTCCTTTCAGTAGCTTCTTTCTTGCAAGGATTGCTATGGTACAGTGACTTGTCACATTTTATGATAAAAATTTTATAATAAATGTTTAAAAATCAATTATATACAAGTTGTTGCTAATGAAATGCTTGATAATTCACCCAGATGGTAACTGGAGTAATGTCTTCTTTTGGATCGTCATTTGTTTATGAGTGATAATGTTCTTTACATTCTACAGGCAAGTCTCCACAGAGGAAGGGGAAGCAAAGGCCCGGGAGCTAAATGTTATGTTTATTGAAGCTAGTGCAAAAGCTGGATTTAATATAAAGGTAAGCCTTCCCTTGTTTTGCCAAAGATATTTTATAAATATCAGCTTGAAATAATAAAAAAGAAATGATCACCGGGCCCTGGGGTGCATGCATTTATTTTTAGTAATTTTCCTTGGAAGAAAAATATTTTCGTGTACAGTATACACTTATTGCATTGCCTTAGGTTAGATGTTCCAAATGATTCAATTGGGATCTGAACTATCGTGTTAGGTGTCATTTCCTAAATATATATGTCTTGCAGAATGCAGCCAACAGTTAATTTTTCCTACAAGTCAACATAATTTTCAAAAGTTAGCTTCTTGTATGCTAGGTATACTTGCATATGATATGGGTTTTGTTAACCTTAATCTTCAAGAATAAATTTAAGGATTTAAAAGCAGTAAGTTTAATAAATATTTTTAATAAAATATTATTATTATTATTACTAATTGTTTAAATTCGGTTTTATATCTGCTTGTATTTTATGTACCTGGTTCTGACATCTTATAGTACTGCTTTACCGAACCTACATATTTAGGCCCTCTTTAGAAAAATTGCTGCGGCATTACCTGGGATGGAAACACTATCTACCACAAAACAAGAAGATATGGTCGATGTGAACCTAAGGTCTTCTGCTAACCCAGACTCTCAACCTCAGTCTGGATGTTCTTGCTGACTATACCTCGTCTTGAAGTTTTGTATCTTTCTGCTTCGTGCTATTTATTTCGGAATGTATTTGCCTCAGATCTGTAAAGATTCATTAGTCTTTTAGACTTTAACAGCATTATGTGAGAAAAGTTACGTAAAACAAGTCGAGAGGTAGCCGTGAAAGAACAAATATAATACAGCTTGTTCGTTAGTTTGTTGTTCATTTTTGTTTTGGTTGTTTGATTGAAAGACTAACATTGACATTATACACTTACGTCAAAGTTTCTGTAATAAATTTTTATTAAAAATTATAAAAAATATATAATTTATTGTATTGACAACATTTAATGCTATAATTTTTAATAGAAAATATTATTTATTTTTTTATTATGTACTTTTAGCATACTTGAAAAAAAAAACTGTTTTATTATTCAGTAAGATTTACATAAATTTGACCAAATAATAAAGAATATCAATGTACTTTAAATATTGCTCCTTTTTTTTTTGTTTTTTGAAGTCATCCGAGTACGGCTTTGTATCAAGCGTATTAATAACCTATCTTGTTTAGTTAATCCATCCAAGTTCAAACTTAATTTTAATATATTTAAATTTTAAAAAATAGAAAATATATTTCAATGACAGATTTAAATTATATTTGAGATTGTGTTAACTCGTGGGATTTTGTATAAATCTTTTGGTAATGTTACCGCCAAAAGGAAACTGCAATGGGGAAACAGGAGCGAGTGTTGTTTGCGGCGTTGGAATCATGCAACGGCCTCCAACAGTGGGACAAACTTAACGCGCAACTCATCGTTTCTAACCTCTCACAACACCCTCTCTTCGCCACCACCGCCATCAAGAAACTCTCTTCCCACGCGCTCACACTCCCACGCGCCATTTCCCTCTTCCGCCATCTCCATCACCCCGACGCCTTCCTCTCCAACACCATCATCCGAGCCCACGCGCGCATAGACGATTTCCCCTCCGCTCTCCGTTTTTACTATCATCACATGCTCGCTCGTTCTGTTCCCCCAAATCATTACACTTTCCCCCTCTTAATCAAACTTTGCACCGAAATCGGGTCGACCCTTGAAGGCCAAAAGGGTCATGCCCGAATTATTAAATTCGGGTTTGACTCTGATTTGTTTGTGCGGAACTCGCTGATTCGGATGTACTCTGTTTTTGGGGGAATTGGTTATGCCCGGTTGCTGTTTGATGAAAGTTGTGTGTTGGATTTGGTTAGTTATAACTCCATGGTAGATGGGTATGTGAAGAATGGGGATATTGGTGCTGCTCGTAAACTGTTTGATGAAATGCCTGTGAGGGATTTTTTTAGTTGGAATTGTATGATTGCGGGGTATGTGGGTGTTGGGGATTTGGATGCTGCGAATGTGTTGTTTGAAGGAATGCCTGAGAGGGATGTTGTGTCTTGGAACTGTATGATTGATGGGTGTGCGAGGGTTGGGAATGTCTTTCTGGCTGTTGAGTTTTTTGATCGAATGCCTGTGGCAGTAAGGAATGTGGTTACGTGGAATTCTGTGTTGGCGCTGCACGTGAGAATGAAGAATTTTGGTGAGTGTTTAAGGATGTTTGATAAAATGATGGAAGGAAGAGAGGTGGTGCCGAATGAGGCTACCCTGGTGAGTGTCCTCACCGCATGTGCTAATTTGGGGAGGCTCAGTGTGGGAATGTGGGTTCATTCTTTTATCAAAAGTAACAACATCAAACTTGATGTCTTGCTCTTGACTTGTCTATTGACAATGTACGCAAAATGTGGGGCTATGGATTTGGCTAGGGATGTTTTTGATGAGATGCCAGTCAGAAGCATTGTATCGTGGAATGCTATGATCATGGGATATGGCTTGCATGGGAATGGTGACAAGGCTCTTGAAATGTTCTTGGAGATGGAGAAGAATGGAATGCAGCCAAATGATGCCACTTTTATCTGTGTGTTATCTGCGTGTACTCATGCTGGAATGGTCATGGAGGGTTGGTGGTATTTTGATCTCATGCGTCGAGTTTACAAAATTGAACCCAAGGTTGAACACTATGGTTGCATGGTTGATCTCCTTGCTCGAGCTGGTTTGGTGGAAAATTCAGAAGAGCTTATAAGGAAGGTCCCTGTGAAGGCTGGATCTGCATTGTGGGGAGCTCTACTTTCTGGTTGTAGTACCCACTTAGACACGGAGCTAGGAGAGATTGTAGCCAAGAGACTTGTTGAGTTAGAGCCACAGGATATCGGTCCTTATATTATGCTGTCAAATATATATGCTTCTCAAGGGAAATGGGATGATGTTGAAGGAGTGAGATTGATGATAAAAGAAAGGGGATTACAGAAAGAAGCAGCATCCAGCTTGGTTCATCTTGAAGATTTTGAATCTAAATATTTTGTTAAGAATAATTCAGGTTATAGGAAAAGGATACTGTACTCGATGTTAGGAGAATTAGGAACACAGATGAAATTTTCCTTCGGAGACTCAATTGAGAAAGATAATTTTACACCTACATAAAGTTAGTCTCTATAATACAGGCTGTTGGGCTAGAAGAAAAGTGCTAGCTAATCATAATAGAGACTGCCACTAAAAACGATGTGTTGCGCGATGGAATTATGGAAATGCTATGATAATACAAGGATGGGTCAAAACAAAAGGATCTAGTAGCGGCTGCAGGGTCCAGATTGGTTCTGCGGAAGATTTTGGGGTTGAATTTTCTGGTGAAGGATAATTCATTTATTTGACGAAGGATAATGTTTGTTTCACACGCACTTGTGAGGTGTGAAATGAGGGGAAGGAATAGAAAGATATAAAAAGAAGACAACAAAGAAAAGAGAGAAAATAAGAGATGTAATGAATGATGGATAAAAAAAGAAAAAGGACGATAAAAAGAATGTAAGAAAAAATGGTGTGAAAAAGTCAAAACTATTTGATCAAGAATGACCTGCCAAGTTTCTTGCGTCATTATCTCAGATAAAATTTAATACATAAAATCCATAGTAGAAAAATAATGTTTATACGATGCATTGAAGACTGAACGCGTAAAGATTTTATCAACTTTGTTTCTCAAGTAAAAATTCTTGCAAGGCAAGGCTGTCGTGTTATACAGTGTATATATGAAATGTTATAAGGAAAGTGAGTGGCTGTTGTAAGGATCAAGAAATCCAGTTAATGCCATCAGATTCCATTCCCTCCTCTCGCCTCTTCCTTGATAAAAGAATATCAGAGTAGCAGACAACCATATCCACTCATATCTGTTTCCTTTCCATTTTTATACTAAAAATTGTAGGTGGAGGAATGGTGCCTTAGTTCAGGTCAAGAAAGCCTTTTAGACTCAAAATTTTTAGAGAATTTACGATTATTTCATTTCAAGAAAATAAATGGACTTTCAAACCTGCGACCTGTTACATGTGAGACTCAATCTTACTTTATTCATCCTCAAGATTATATCACTATTTTTATCTATGTATTTAAATGTTTATAATTTTGAATTTGTCTGCATCGTGACAATGAAAAATATTCTAGGCTTCTCAATCTCTGTGTCTGCACATGCACTTGCAAGTAGGGTGACGAGCTAGCCCAAAAAAGTTGTCTTTTGTTTAAGCAGTTTATTTATTAGTTGATTTATTATCCCGTTAGTTATTTGCCGGTGGTACTGTATCCATAATTTTTATCTTTTTTGAAAGAAATGAAAGCATGATTCTAATTTTAAATTACTTGACCTTCCAACATTTAGAATTCCTTAGGACATTAGGTATATGATTTTTCAACCATTAAATGAAACAAGCCATTTGTTATTCCCACTTTTATTAATATTTCATTGCCTCTGCTTGCTTCTTGTGGTGTAATGACCGAATGTTTAATACTGAGTGACAACTTTAAGCCTTTGGTTAATATTTCCTGTCTCAAAGTATTGATAGTCTATCTGTTTACCTTGTGAATGATTAATGATATGACAAGTTTAGTGGCTCAATTGCTGATCATTATCAACTTAAAGCTACTGGGAAATCAAGTGACATTTCATTTTTCAACATGCTTGGGTACTTGATTGAGATATTTTAAGGAGTAAAATAACTAGGGAGTTGAGTGACATTCATAGCATAGCATTTGTTTACCATCTAGTAATAAGACCAAAGAATTTCCTCAGTCCTAATTACTTATATGGAGAAAAACATTATTAGAGGGGGAAAAATAGGGTAAATCGACTGAACTGAACTGAACTGAAATAACTTGATTATTTATTTCATTAGAGTAATAGCAGATTAATAAATCACTTTTTGCTGATTTTCTATTGGTCTACTTACCCCAAGTCATATGTTTCTCCAGCCTTCCAGTCTTGTGGTATGTTAATAACAGGAACGACCCCTGTTTCTTTTCCCTCTTCAGCACTAAAAACGTCCTTAAAGATAAAGGTCCACTTGGTGGAGAGGTAGTGGTCCAGACTGCCCCATGACTCCGATCCAGTAACTTGCAAACAAAGTTCTGAGTCTGTTCTCACCAAAGAGATTACACTCGTTACAGTACTTTTTATCTAACTTACTGGACCTTACTGATCCCAGCCATTTCAATTGAATGAAGAGTTGAAAAAATTTAAGCGTGTCTTGTCATATCTAGTTATTATTATTTCAGAGTTAATTATTCAATAAAAAACACAAGCTTCATATTAGAAAATCAGTAAACTCAGTTTAGATAAATTTCTAAACAAATACTTATAGGAACTATTAATTAAAATCAATTTATATACATCAATTTATGGAAAAATTGAATAAAAGACTTCAGAAAACATTAACGGGTATAGGTTAATTTTAATTTATGAAAGAAGTTTGATTTATTTTATTTTATTTTCTTACAATTACTTACAAGTTATCCAAACTGAGTCTAAATACTCAAAAAAAATTTCTACTTCTTGACTGAATTATCTGTTCAAAAAATGAGTTAGCCCAAAGATTTGACAAAATTGCAAATGATAAGGAAGCAGAAAGTACCTCACAGATATGCGCAGCAGTGATGTCTCTCCTTCCTTGTTGATACCATAGGACAAAAGCCAAGTAATGAGGCTTGCTGCTACTCTCATCTATCTTAACTGTAATGTTTTTGTTTGGGTAGCTACATGAAACTCTGAACATAAAAAGAGAGGCCTCAGTTAAGTCTTTCATTTACTGGCTACATACAATTTCACATATAACAAAGAAGCAAAAATGATGCAATGGAAAAGATACCTGTGTGTGGAAGAATAACGATTAAATTTAACATTTTGCATTTGTTTAATTTTATTAATTAAATTTAATATAGTATGTTAATAATTTATTTATTTTTAATAATTAAATTTAACTTGCAGGGGAGTAAAGAGGAGTTATGTCTTTCTATTCTACATCAATTATTGAGGAAGTTGACGTGATTGAACGACAATCACTTCCATTTTTGAAAGAAAAAATGTGTTATTATCCGCTCACAATCATTATAAAGATCTTATTAATAAAAAAAATTATTAAATAACATCTCATTATCTTTCGTAGAAAATAATCTGAGTTCACGATGATTATTAAAAGTAGTAATTTCTTTAGAAAAAAATTGAAATTAAAATTAATTTTTAAAAAATTATAAAAAAGTGTAAAGATAAAATTATACATCTTAAATTTTTTATTAGTTTATTATAAAAAATACACTGTTTTAATTTTTTATTAATTAATTTTATATTTATTTAATTTTACATCCTTTAAGTTTAAATAATTCAATTAAAAAAATTAATGACTAAAATCAATTTTAATAAGATGATATTTCAAAAATTTATTTTATAATCCTTTATTATTTTTTAAAAAATATATTTATCTATGAATATAAAATAAAAAAATTATATAATCGTTATTTTATGGTATTTATTCTTTTAGACAAAAGATATCTATTATTTTAAAATTCTCAATTATAAAGGATATTAATTTAAAAATATTTTTTCAAATGCATAATTAAAAATACATAATAAAATTTATATTTAATATTTTTATATAATTATTAAAATATTATACAATTTAATAAATTGATAATATTATATACTCTACTTTTAATAAAAAAATTATTTATTAATTTTTTATCATACACTCTTCAATAAATATTAATAAATTAAAACATTAAAAGTATTTATTAAAAATTATGTTGAATTTTTAATAAATACTTGCAATTGTTAGAATTTTTTGGCTCTTAAAACTCTGACTCTAACCCTGATCTAGTGAGCTTTTTGGCCCATAAAACTTTTGATTTATGAAACTTTTTGGCCTACAAGACTTTTTGACCATAACCCATATAAGTTAGGGTTAGGATTGAACCAATTAAACTTTTTGATAGCTCTAAGAGAGAAAAGCTTACTACTAACTTTGATCCTTTTTATAAGAAACAAAAGACTAAATCTTTAGGATTAAGGAAAGCAATTAAGTCACTTATGTTTTCCATAAATATAAACTTTATTCCTAAAATACCCATGATGTTAAATGTTGTAGTTAGTGGTTTGGACAATCAATGATACTAATAAAATGAGGATATAAAAGAAATTTAACAGTTAATGCTTCTTGAATCTATCATTTGTTTCTTATAAAAAGGACTGGAGGTAGTAATACATTAAGGGAACAAGATTAGTCGTATTTATAGAGAATTTGGTCAATGTTACCAACTTTGACGTCCCAAAGTTAAAGAGCATAATTATTCACAATTTGAATATGAGGAATTTTATTACCAATGTCCATATCAGCGTTACTTGATTCGGATCCGGATTGTCTCCAGTCTAGGCAGAAACTGGACCTCCAATTCTTTTTTTGCTTAAGCAAAAATAGGTTATTTTCGCTTAAAATCATGATAAAATGACTTAAGCCAATTTTCATAAAACAAATGGCTTAAGCGAAAAAAAAATGGCTTAAGCGAAAAATGGACAGAAAGCTTTAATTTTTACTCAATCTTATCTTCTCCTTCTCCCTAAACCTAATATTTCCTCCTCAATCTCCATATTCAAACTCCTTTAACCTCCATATTCAACCTTCTTCTTTCTCTTATACTTAACTCTTCTCTTTCCCTCCTAACTCTTTTTTTTTTCAACCTCATACCTAACTCCTCTCCTCCTCTTCTCATTCTCACATCACCAAATACCTATTTCTCCCTTTTTTCTCTATACTCAACTCTTCAATTTCCTCTTCTTCCACCGTCACTACTATATCACCCGCTCTCCTTGTCTACATTCATTCTTAATCCTCTCTTTTTTCTACACTCAGCCTTCATATCTTCAAACACACAAAATTTACTTAAAATAAAATAATTCGCTTAAGCTAGAAAAATTAGCTTTAGCTAATTTTGCATAAAAAAATTTTGGCTGTGGAGGAAGAAAAAAGTGAAGAGTTGAGTATAGATAAAAGAGGGAGAGATAGGTATTGGGTGAGGTGAGAATGAGAAGAGGAGGAGAGGAGTTAGGTATGAGGTTAAAGGAAAAGAGAGTTAGGAGAGAAAGAGAAGAGTTAAGTATAAGAGAAAGAAGAAGGTTGAATATGGAGGTTGAGGAGGAAATGTTATGTTTAGAGGGAAGGAGAAGAGAGAATTGAGTGAAAATTAAAACTCTCTGTCCATTTTTTGCTTAAACCATTTGTTTTATGAAAATTGGCTTAAGCCATTTTGTCATGATTTTAAGCGAAAATAACCCATTTTCGCTTAAGTGAATTTTTTCGCTTAAGCAAAAATAGAATTGGAGGTCCAGTTCCCGCCTAGACTGTAGACAATCCAGATCCTACTTGATTCATTCTTTTTTAAAAACCACTTTATAACCTTTCAAATTTGGAAAATAGTTTATATATAGAAATTTCTTTGTGTATCCGCACGAGAAAAATAAGAAGAGAAAGGAGATA